TTACAAACATGCTCATGTCCCTACCAATTAAGGTCTCCCTAAACCTTTTTTCTTTAACTCACTCAATTGGGCCCATCATAGCAGAGACAGGACGACAGTTCCAAACAAGACGAGTGTGCTGGGCCGACAAACTCATGACTCTCTCGGTGTGACAACGGGCCAGGCAACCAGTCTGGCAGGCAGGGCGCCCACTAAAAGTCACGGGGGGGTGCCAGAGGGCTCAAAAATCGGACAGTCCTTGGTTCCTGGCGGTCCTGGGTTGTTGGGCGCTCTGAGTGCTTGGCCGGCGTGGTAAGATCTCCGCTAACATCAGAGCCTGCAGACCGGAGGCTAGCCAAGACCTTGACCAGGCCCACTCCAGCCTACGGTACTGCTTGGTGCGGTCTTGCAAGGGGGCTTCCATCCACTGTCATGCCCTTTACTGCCCAGCCCACCTCCCTGTCCCCGCTTCCAAAGGAAACTCGGCCACCCTCTCTATCCAGGCCGCCTTGAGGATGGCCTCCCGGGTCGTTCTCCTACAGGGTTCATCTCCTATCCATCATGCAAGCAGTCGGCCAGGTCAAGGTCGGTTTGGCGGTGGTGACGTATCTCTTCAGGGCGGGGCCTTGCGTGTCTTCCCAGCTAGCATCAGAATCGCCCTATCCGAGTCCAGGCTGCCCCGAAGCTTCCCCGGGCCTCGGATGCACATAGCTCGTCCCGTGCTTCGCCGCCCACACACGCTGTAGGCTCTGTAGCCGCGCTTCTCGCGCCTGGGAAATAGCCCCCTCATCGACTAGCCGCCGTTCCCATCCTCGGATGCATGCATTGATGTCCTGATACGTTCTCCAGTTGGAGACTCGTTCTGGATACCTCATGGCCAGAGACTCAACATTCCTAGTCATAACTCAAATAACTCAAATGCATCTCCCAACAATTCCTCCTTGGGTTGTCGGTTTTTGAGGTCATCGACTGTGAGGATCTTCTTCAAGAATTCAGCGTAGGCTGCATTTCCAGCACTTTCCATCTTTAACGTAAGCTCGATCCCACGCAAGTCGTTTGGCCTTACCCCACACGGCACATCTTCAGGTGCCGAACCAAATCGTCACCAGGCTTGATGAACTGAAGCTTGATTCATAGATGTAAGCTGCACACCCAAACAGCTACGTGGAACAGGGAGGGAGTCTCGCCGTCTAGCCACCAGTCCTCTTAGGAGGGTGGCTGGGGCCGCCGTGCTTGAGATTCAATCTTGATGGTCGGTCGCTCATGGATGTGGGATCGGCTACTCGTGTGCTCCGATAGTCCTGCTCGGTGGTTGGGGCCGTGATTCCTTGTAGAGCCTGAGTGGCTTCGCTGGCTGGGCGAGCTTACTGAACGTTTCTTCGTGCGTGTTACTCGTCTAGTTTGCTACTCTAGCTGAACGTCCTAGGTGGAAGCCTGGGGATGGTGGTGGGTCGGAGAGGGCGCTAGTGCACAGGTTGAAACACAGTCCTCGGCTTTGGCAAGAGCATTGTGCGTCGGTCATGAATACATTGAGCTTTCGTCGCTGCGAGAATGATCCCAACCTTCATTGTCACTCTAGTCGTAAATTGTACGTTCTGGCTTATGTCGATGATCTTATGATTGTTGGTGAGCCACAAAGAGCAAAGGGTTTTGTTGAGGCATTGAACAAAGAATTGCTGGTTAAGGTGACTGCTGAGTTGCGGTCTGGAACAGACGCGAGTTTCCTAGGCCGCAGGTTGCGTCACAATGGCGATAGCATTGACATGTTTATGCCGAAAACCTTCATTGACGAGTTTCTGGCTTTGTACAACATGAAGGACTCACACTAAGTCAACACGACCGGCCATGCTTCATTGAATCATTGAAGCGTCTTGAGGTTTCCGATCTTGCGTTGGGCGCAACTGAACATGCTAAGTATCGAACGGCTGTCGGCAAATTGCTTGGGATGGCATTTGTTCGCCGTGACTGTTCGTTTGGTGTCGAAGACTTGTCGCGCGACGTCAAGGGACAGACTCAAGAGTGTTATGTCATGTCACGATTGAAGCATCTTTTACGCTACATAGCTGGCGCACTTGCTACTGTTCTTCGATTGAATCGATTGCATCCAGCACAGATGCTTGAGGATTGGCTTTGTGTGACGGATGTCACTTGCTATGTGGACAATGGTTGGGCTGGATGTCACAAGACTCGTCCTAGCACGAGCGGCAGCATTGTTCAGGTTCTTGGTGACATGGTCACTCACACCTCTAGAACCCAAGCCGCCCACAGTGGTGAAGCTGAACTGTATGCCATTGGCCAAGGTATCAATGAGGCATTGTTTGTGAAGTTTCTACATGCAGAACTTGATGCCGCGGGGTTGCTGCATTGCGTGAGGTTCACACCGCCCTCGGCCAACCCCGCTGATGTCCTCACTAAATGCAGTTCTACTGCTGTGTTGAGCAACTTGATCGGCAAGATAGGTTTGGTTCGCAATGTCTTTCGACTGTAGTACTTTCATTGTCTCACCTTGTCCGCACTTTAAAACCAGAATCTAACCAGAAAGATTGTTTCATTGCGGCTCAGAACTTAGCTTTCACAACTTGCAACGTCAATTGGCTCGGTTTGAGGGACCGTGAGAGATTGATGTTGGCCTGGAGATCATTTGAGTGCGAAGAAAGACTTGGATTCTGTTTGCATTGCCACGCATTCTCCTACATGTCTGTCAGCATTGTGATTCTTGTGCAGTACATGAGTGACTGCAACAGTACATGGCTGATGCACTTTCGATCGAGTCGGTCGATTGCATGATTCGGAAAATTTTGCTTTGCCGTTTGAAAGTGCAGTTTTCACTTTGCCGAAATTGTCGGTGTTTTCCATCGGTTTTTCATTTCGTCGTGTTCGGTTCGTGTGGCCGTCATGCTCGCCCTCGATTTTTCGCTGTCTTCGGATTGTCTACCAGTGGCAACCAAGACAATGGTTATAAAATGCCGTAAACCTTCAGCCCCTTGCATCGACAGTGTAATTGCTCTGGGAATTGTTGCTTGTATTCCGGATTCTGAGTTGTAGATTCCGCGCCGCCTTTGATGCCCCGCCATTGGAGCTTGCCGACTCCTGGCTCACTGGAAAGCTTCGAGGCCATCCGATATTCGACCTCAGTCTCAATGTGCAGAGAATTGAGCAGAATATCTCAAAAATTCTACAGCGTTGTGGTTTGCCACTGAGCTCTTGTTCAGCGTGCCAGAGGTTGGCCGACGCAACATCGCCATTGGCACTGAAGGCCAAGGGCTGATTGCAGCATGCGATGTGGTGACATTGCCAACTGTTAGCGCCCACTGCGCCAGACGATACGACGGCAAGCACATTGAGGTGACACGAGAGAAGCTTTTCGATCCAAGGATGGACGGCGATCAATGATCAGACTGATGCCTACGACCTACGATGGAATTGTCCGAGAAAAGGGAACATCTATGGAGCTCTCCATGAGTGAAAAGGAAAGCCGAAGAGGATATGTATTTGTCTTCACAGAACGCGCGGACACTTCCTTAGTTTCTGCAATGAGTTTCAAGCAGTGGGTGACAGGCAGGGAGTCTGATCTGACTTTCAGGAGTAAGGATCAGAGCATACCCGAGGAGCTGAAGAGCAAACCCGTTGTACCGGTGCAGATCGTTCCAACCGGTGGAGCAGGAGTTCTTGGACAGGCTTATCAAAGCGGAGACTGTGTGAACCCTATCAGAGAGCACAAGGAACGGATCAGGGTAGAAGCTCGACCAACAGAGCCAACTGAGCAGGAACGCGGCTTGCGTGGAAAGCAAGCCCAAGCAAGACCACGAAAGGAAGAACCCGAAAGCAAACAAGGAGCATGTCACTGCTCCTTACCCAGTGTAACTAGATTTCATGTTTCTGTCAGGAACGGATACACTAGCTTCGGTAAGAATTCGCAGTCGAACCCGGATGTCTGTGCTGATCCCAGTGTCAGGTAGGTAAACAAACGGAACGGAAAACAGTGGAGACAGTATTCAAGTGGCAAGTGGGTAGACAGAATCGGTCATTTGGAAGAAGATGGTTTTGTGGGTGATTCAGAAGTGTCTCTGCCATTTCTGGTGGTTGTGGAGACAAGACGCAAAATGAATCGGAAGACCCATGACCGGAACGGTAAGCCCTCTCAGACAGGAAGAACAGCCAGGCGTATCCAGACTTTGAGGAATCAGATTGTGTGTTTGGTCAGAGCAGAAAAGAAAGTTCGACATCGAAGTCCCAGAAGGACATGCCGTATGAGCATGGGTTTTAGGCCATGCATCTTGGCTACGCGAAAAATCGATATCATCGGCATGCACCGTTAGGAGACACACCATACGAAAGTGCTGTTGGGAAAACGTATCTAGAAAAGATTGCACCGTTTGGAGAGTACACGTTTGCCTTGAGTGAAGAAGCCAGAGAAGAAAGGAACTGCGAACTGGATTGGTTGAAGCCTAGGGAAGAACTCCCACGACTTACGTGCGATTGGTGTAGAGGGTAAAGTTCTTGCGACAGGTTCAGTGAGAAGAGTCGCAACTGGATGGAACGAACCCCCTTAAAATTAAAAGTAATTCCCTGGAATCCAAAGAAGCCAAAATGAACGTATCTTAAGCAGCTTTTGACTGCAGCCGCCACACCGACAATCACAGAAAAACCCGAAAGGCCAAGTGACCAAGTGTTACAGAAGAAGTCTTTGGACAAAGCCAGTGAGAGCAAGCGGAAGAAGTGCTAGACGTGTTGGATGTCAGTAGCCAGGGGACACCTAGCTCAGGCAGGGACACTGCCAAAAGTTCACACCAAGAGCCTGCTGATGATAACATGATGCTGGGTGAGTCCAGAAAACGAGCTCTGGAGGCAGCAGGCCATCAGCTCCTAGTTCCGAAAATGCACTGTACCGGTCGCTTTTCGCAGGCAGGGTAGCAGAGGAAGAAGACCCATTTCATTGGGTTGAGAATGAAGACCTTGCTGCCGCAGAAGGAGGCGACGTCGAGTCTTGGAAGCAGAAATGGAAGACGCTCCGAAGAATGATCAAGGAGAGAGAGCGCCAGAGCTCAGCCAAGAAGAACGTGATGCTGAAGAAGACGCAGCAGTTAGTCATTGAAGAGGTTGATTAAGATCGGAGTTATTGAGGAGGTCCATGAATGTGAAAGCACAGGTGAAGAGAAACGCATGGATTAGAGAGAGGTCTACGATTTCGAGACGATAAGTGGAAGAGGCGGTGTAGGATTATCGAGAGAAGACAGGCGGGGTGCAAGTTCAACCTCCGAAACTTCTTCGCCAACAGCATCGAGCGCAGCGAGTCGTCTGGTACTATCCTTGACATAAAGGATGCGTACCTACAGATACCACGACAAGAACCCGTGCTTGTGGTAATTCCGAATGGATGAAGAAAGCCGGCCAGATAGGCTCAGGCATATTATGGCGTTTCAGGCGATGTTTTTTTCTGGGACAGCGCAGCACGGCGACCAGATGGTATGAACATCTCCGTGGAATGCCAAAGAACCTAAGGTTCCAATTTTCGGAACATGTACCTGCGCTAGCGAAACACAAAGAAGAAATGCCTAGGCATATCCGTCCATGTCGATGACGAGCTCCTAGCAGGAGAACGGCCTGGGACAGAGGGTTTGGTGCCAGAGTTGGAGAAGATCTTCAGGAGTAGAAGAAGAAGGACCATCTCCGCTGCCTTGAGCCTCATTGAGGCAACGTGGAGGAGAAGAAGAAAGTACGTGTTTACACAAGACGGCGTGATCGTACAGCCAAACTAGAAATACGTCAAGAAAATTGTTGAACTGCGTGGCTTGGGTAACCTGAAGAGCAAAGCCACACAAAAGGAAGATGTGAGTACGGAGTTCAGTGTCGAAGAGACAAAGCAGACAAAGCGATTCATCACAGGGTTGGATTGACGTACAGTATGCGAGTAAGTGTTTGGCATCAAGCATGTCAGATCCCACGTGACCGGAGTTCAAACTTCTAAAACACGTCATTCTGTATTTAGCGGGAACCGCAAGTCGTGCCACATTGCTTCCGTACATGGGCAAAGGAACCTGCTCGATTACAAAGCTGATAAAGCTGAATGGATGTCCAGATAAAGAGATCATGGAAGGAGATCATCATGTAGTGGAAACGTTGCCGGATGGTGTTTGGGCAAGCCTGAAAACACCCCCCAGAAGGCCAGGAGGGAGTCAACTTGGTAAGGTATCATCGTGTTGAACGGTCTACACGTACTTAGCTTTTCCCGTGCGCAGAAAGCTACAGCTTCATCGAGCTGTGAGGCAGAATTGTCTGCTCAGAATGTCTCACCGGAGCAGCTGCACAGGTAGAAGCGCGATGTGACTCAAGCTCAGCAGGGCAATGGACACAAAGAAGAGGGATCGGACGCCTGACACGCATAGCCGTAAGGTTGTGTCATCTTCAGGACTGGGTGACAGATGGAGTAATCAGAGTAGTCAAACTTGGACCGCCGATGTTGGATTTGTTTTCCAGAGCGCCATCCAGTCACAGTGGAAGAAGAAGACAGGATGATGACAGCGAATGGCGAGTGGTTTACGCAGCCCCTGCAGAGCCTTAATGCCACTGGTGCGAGTGGCGAGTTTGCAGTAAGATGAAAGAAGGTCCCATAACAGGCAGTTGCTGTTCGGAGCCCGCTTCTGGAGAGAGAGAGAGAGAGAGAGAGAGAAAACGACAGAAAGGCGTCCCAAAGTTGAGCTGACGAGTATATCGGGGGAGTGTGTTATTCAGCAACTAACTTGTTGTCAAGGATTCAGTCACTTAACCTACAGACTTCAATAGCTCCCGATACATACTCGAGACTTCACTCCTCCCCAAAGCCTCATAACATATGGGGGGCCAATAGGCCGGGGGGCGTAACATGCCCTCCATGCCCTGGGGAAGAAGAAGAAGAAGAGAGAAAACGACGCGAGGTATGATAGCCTGGGAAGACATGACCAAAGCCAGGACGCCTGCTGGTATGAATTATGACGGGGAAGGTTACTGGAATGCAACACTAGCAATCTAAGGAACTTCTACAATGGCACAGCGAAGGAGTCCGGGTAAAGTAGCCGCGCATAACGAATACGTACGTACAAAGGAGCCAAGGCGAAGCTGCACAGTAAAAGGAAGGGTTGCAAACAAGTGGTGAGAACGCCGGCGCAGAGGAAGTCCTGCCCACGAGACAGTCCACCATCTTGGTTTACGGCGATGCCCGACCTTGTCGAATTGCAATGAACAGAAGCAGTGCCGCGCTGCAAGGACAGAAATGATGGATCGAAGCCAATAGAGGAAGGTTCCGGAGAATGACGCGATGTACATCTTCCAGGAACGAGTGGACTTTGGTACTCGCAAGGACAATGGGGTGGAGATGGAAGCTCGCAGAAGCAGGAAGTACGAATTGAGAATGGCATGAAAAGAAGGTGAGAGTGGCAACGTTGACTAAGCCAACGTAAGACAAATGCAGTATGAGTGTCACAAAAAAACGCAATTTTGCGCACAGTGTTTTGCTTCCTGCCCCGCACCTGTTTTGCAAACAAAACTGCTCCAAGGACTCTTGCACGTCTTGGAGCGGGACTCTTGCACGTCTTGGAGCGGGATGGACTGGGCAAGTGATTCGTTTGACGTCTGCGTCAGGCCGGAATATCACATTTGGCACTCGAGAACGAAGAGGTTTCACAAGGAGATTCCGGTTGTGGCCCTGAATTCTTGGTGTTGGCAGCATCTCTGTTCATTCTCGGGAGGAGCTATCAGAGTCTTTGGCTTTGCTCAACGCTGCCAGAATCTTCATGGATGGACCGTGGCACGCTTTGGACCTCTGCTGTGGGAAGTTGGCTCCTCATCAGCCTCTTCTGCCGGTCGCGTAATGCAGCGAGTGTAGCACACACAGACACACATTCACACAAGCATGCAGTACGAGTGGGGTTCCCAATCCACGGACAGTTTGGCTTACACACATTCAACCTGAATGCGCGCTTGTACCACCAGAAATCTTGACGGGAGGTTCGAAAGTTTTGTCCCACACAGAGCAAGCGGGCCTGCATGACCAGGTCGCTGACCTCTGCACTGCTCTCTTTGGAAGAGATGCCGCCCGAAGCCATCACGGCCCGAACCTCAGATTGTCGTGGTGGTCTTCGAAGATAGTAGGGCATTTGCCATCGTGCACTTGCAATCTGCAGCAGACTGGGCGGCCCGAGCATTCTGATCAGTCTAGCCCGCTGCAAGTCTGCATCCCGTTCAGTGCGGGCCTATGTCGCTGCAGCAACTTCACCAATGTTACCCGTCCACGAGCTCTCGCAGCTTGTCATGCGGCAGGAGTCCCAGACATGACGCATGGGCAACACGCTCCGTGTCCCACTCCGCCCATATGGGCGAGCTCAAAAGGGCAAGCAGTCGAAGCAGGTCGAGGGCATCATCAGATCTGCCGGGTGCGGGCATCCGAACCTGAACAATGCAGTCTTTCTAGTCGTGTTTCGGTATTGTGCACTGACTCGTCAGTCGGACAGTCACTGGTAGTTGGTCGTGATTGAAGTGAACACCTCTCAAACATCCAAGGTTGCCAGCCTGCTTTTGAGCGCAGCACATCGAAGATGACTGTCCGTGAGTTGCTGTCCTACGCGAAAAGCAACCCAGACGAGTTCAATCTGCCGGCCATGGAAACTTTCAGAAGCGTCAGCCAGCCGTGCGAAGTATTTTTATCATCTGAAGATTTCGGCCTCCCTAACTTCGAGAACTGTAGAAGTGTGAGCCAGCCCGTAGAGATTGCCTCGCCGGTTTCAAGCATAGTGCACCTGGACGACGGACTACAGCCGAGCAGCGATGATCTCAGGATGAGAAGCCAGTCCTGGTCCCAAGGAGCTTGTCGAAAAAGCACGAACAAAATGGGAAAACACTTGTTGAGGCATCCGCCACAATACGTTGTCTCTTTGTAGTTGCAACTACCAGGTGCAGCTGAAATCTTAACTGCATGATTTTTGCATAATTTATGAAATCAGGGACATGAGTCCTGCCCGCTTCAGATAGCGGCAGCGATGGGCTTTGGCGGACTCCATTGCTGGATCTGAAGCGTGTTATGACCTGTTTCCGAAAGTGTGAACCTGCGCTGTCGCCGACTAAGGTGGAGGGTGTTGCTGCAAGTGTAGCTGGACAGTGCCAGAAGGAATGGGTCAGGATAAAGCAAGAAGGCAGCTCCTGGAATCCTAGAAGTTGGTGGCAGACTCCTGCTGTCAGAACAATTTTCTGACCTGCACCTGCCTAGACAGCTTGTAAACTCCATGGCAGTCCCTGTGCCTTTCGTCACTTCATGGTGACCTGTTGTTTGGACATCACATTTGACGATTCATGGCTGGATATCCATGGCCTGTGGGACAGGAGCTGCATCGGCCACGAGCTTCGTGTACATACATCTCGAGACGGTGTTTCCAGCTATTTTTTATCAACTCCGACCGACTGAGTCTGAGTCTGGCAGACTCGGTGCCATGGAGAGAAACCTCGAGTCTCAATTTGACGTATTGCAAGTGCCACAGTAAGTAATATACTTGCCATGATGACTGGTCGGAAAGCGAGCTGAACAGACATGCTTAAGGCATGCAGTGTTTGACTGTCCGTAAGCTCCGTAATGTTTGCCAGGTCCAGGTGAGTCGTTTTGAAAGCCCTGGCTTGGCGAAGGAATTCTTTTGTGGAGCCTTGGATTGGCAACGTCCAGCAGTCCAGGCTAAGTGGCAGCACTCAGAATTGCAGCTTCCTGGCGAAATGCGGCTTGGAAGTCAGCTGCATGCCAGTGCTGCAAGACACCAGCTATGCTATCCCAAAAAAGGATTCGGCACTGGCAGACTTACATGTCAGTATCGGCAGCTCAGAGCGCAGTGCCAGATCCCATAAAGCATCTGCCCCCTGATAGTATGACAAAACGTCAGCTCGGGCCGCATGCGACACCGCAGGCCGTGGATCTGCGACCGTTGGAAGAGCATCTCACTCAGAAGACAAGTGCAGGTACGCGGTCCTTTGGCGATTCAAGCCAAGTTGTCTCGAAACGTTGTCTGGGGCATTGACTTGACTAGACTGGTTGCAAGAGAAGTTCGCGATGGTTTGGAGGTTGTTGGCTTGACTGTGCAGACACTGCAGAACTGACCAGCTTCAATCACCCCTTCGTCCCAAAGCACGGCGGCGGTTCACTACAGGCTCCCTCACCATGATCAGGCGCTGCAGCGTGCCGCTGAGCTTCAGATGTGCCAGGCCCAATTGGCAACTGTGCGGTATTATTCATGTCTGAAACTCATTCTATACCTCTTGAAAGTCAGGAACCGTGTCAGCACGGCTCAAGAACCCTGCCGCTTTGTGCCACGCTGGCGCAGCATGGCCACTACGTCGGCTACATCCGAGGAGTCATCTTCCCCCGACATCTACAAAGATTTCCTGAAAACGGTCCTTGGAGGTGCACCACTGAGCTTCGTCGTTGAGTCTTTTAGTTGCTAGAACTGGTTTTGCAAATGTTGTCCAGCTCATGAAAGAGCATGAACGAATTCTGAATATGTGTTGCAGGCTCACCCGATGAAATCGAGGAACGCGATCAGAAACTGCTCGGCATAGAGAGCGAGATATTTGTTATTCCGGAAGCAGAGAAGGAGGCTCGGAACATCGCTTTGTAGCATAGCGCGAGCCTGGAGCACAAATGCACAATCAATGAATTTGACTCGCAGGACTCAGGACGAAGCAGCGATGGGGAAGAGGATAAGGAAAAGAACAATGAGACCGTGTGCTCACTGGCCAGCAAGTGCTCACTGTGAACCCCATGCTGGCCAGATTTCGATGGTTGCAAGTTGCAAGTCTTGGGCAGGTGCTTCGCCATGGATGACTCCGACGACGACGACGCAGACGACGATGATGATGAGTCCGAAGACTGGGACCTCGAGGTGCACTGCGTCAGCCGACGAAGCCTTTGCTTATCTCGCCCAGAATATATAGCGACATTGTTCTGCGCCATGTCGAAAGACAGCAAATCGTGCTAACTATCAACTCGAGACCCACAGTGCGAGAATTGAAGGTGATATTAGTTGTAGCTTTAGGTCCGACAGATAGGCCTTGAGATTCGGCAAAGAGGACGCATACAACTTCGACCCCGATCGTGTGGCAGAGCTACTCCAGAGGGGCAACGTGACCGAGGAGGAGCTGGTGGATGCTCGGAGGCACTATCAACGAAGCTTCCTCTCCGATACGCTCCGACATGGCCTTTTTGCTGCGACTCAAGTTGGTCTTGGCTCGTATCCAGCATGGAGCTGCGGCATCTGCATCTCAGGAGACGATGCAAGTGGGCATGGCAGAGGCTCTTGATGCGATTTGCCGCTGGAGTGCAGCCCTTTAATCCCCTTGCAGCTTAATATGCAGATGTCTGCAGGCCATGATCCAGCGACTTGCGCAAGAAGATCCGGAAGCGGAGGCAGCCCGCCCCCTTGGCTGCAGACAAGGTGATCAGCCCCGTAAGTCCTTGTCAACGTTTCTGCTTCCGAGCAAATGCCTGCAAGCCGCTGCGAGGTCCAGACTGCCAGGGTGACTTGACCGGCAGGATGACGCCGCCGGCGCAGCCGACTGACTTTGAAGCGCCACTCGGAGACGTGTAACAGCTTCAGATGCTTAAGATGGGGTTACGAATGCATAAATTGCTGCGCGTCAAGGAACACACCGCCCGATCCGAAGGAACTGGCCGACAAGTTGGAGAAGGCCACTGAATTGAAGTGAACAGCAACTGAGTCTCCTCCCCATACTTGATGCCGTCTTGCGTAAAATCTGATGACTCGGTCACGAGCAGTGAAGCCACAGTCGTTCAGATCAAGTAGCAAACCCCACGCAAAGGCACCTGCTGGCAGGGCGCGCCGATCATCAATGGTTCGCCGTGGCGCCCTTGACGAAGCAGCACGCTGCGCCGCGAAGAATCACAGGTAGCTTCGTCGAGACGGAGTCGAGACGGAACGATTTCGATTCAAGCGCCGCAGTAAAACAATGAGGAAAAGCATTGCTGGCATTCAAAAGTCCAAACTGGTCGACGATGACTCCAACAAGGATCGACCGATGGCAGATCAACGATACCTCAATAATCTGTTCTGTCCGGTGGAAAAGCTGCCCTGCTTTGCACATCTTGTGTTGGCAGGACAGCATCCTTCAGGCCGTGGCGAACACCAGGAAACGGAATCGACTTAGCATTTGCAAAGCCGTCGAAACGTTGGAGGCTGCAGGCCGCGGCCCTTCTTTTCTGCAAAATCAGTCTGATGTGCTAGGAACTTCGCTTGAACTCACGCCAGGCCTTGGCGATGAGCCAGATCGGAAAGCTGTGTCTCAGCAGCTAGAGATGGTCCAGAAGCGGCTTGGTTTTGATCATCACAGAGCTTTGATGTGGGATGCCGGAGAGCCGCGCTCTTGTATACAGGTGCCTCCTGGAAGCCAGGAAGAAGCACCGGGACACCGTGGCGAAGGCAAGTAAATTTCCTGCAGCAGTCCAAAGCAGTGGACCGTCGGCCAACGACTCCAGGTTGCTATGGAGACAGTAAGTCGTGGCGAGCCTGATGCCTCCCAGGAGCATTGTCCATGAGTGTCAAGGTGAGGCTTTCAGCTTTCCGAGCCCGAGGACACCAAAGATTCCAAAGCTGACGAAAAAGGCAAAGCCTCAACAACCACGACTACCGACGAAAAGCCAAAGTTCCAGATGTCGGCATCCGCCAAAGCCTTCAAGCCGGGCCCTCAAACATGAAGGCGCTTGATGCAGCTGGTGCCTGTGGTTACGCTGTAGCTCAGTAGCTCATGGGCCAGAACATACCACAAATGGCGCATTGACTTGTGTGCCCAGTCCCAACCAGCAAAGCATCGAAGAGAAGATCAGAAGCGCCGTTAAAGCTGCACACCAGCGCGCAAAGCAAGAGCGGGGCGAAGTGGCGGCGCCGCCACGAGGTCTCCGGGCAACAGCAATGCCCTGTAATACGCTACACTGTTTCTGCACACTTGTTCAGGCCACGACCAGTGGGGAAATCCGTATGCCGCTTGGGGATCTGGCTATGACCAGACCGGCTACGGCTACGCACAAGCCTACCATCCAGGTTACCAAACGCATGCGTACAACCAGTGCTACGACCCGTCGTGGAACAACCAGATGGGCTATGCGCAGGCAGGCGTTCAATCGTGAAGGGGTGAATGATATGCCATGATGAGTTTGTCAGGGACAACAGTGGCAGCAACCCCAGCAAGCCTGGACACAGGCCTCCCTTTGACACATGCTTCATGCAATCAAAAGCCGTAGCGATCTGTCGAACAGGGTGGCGCCGGTCAAAACTGCTGGGTGACCGCCGAAGGACCCCTGCTTGCTAGTTAAGCGTGCTTTGCATTCACGTTGGTGGCGCACAAGCTGCATATTGACTAGACAGGGATTGCAAATGTTCAGGAGCAAATGCTGCCTATGGCGGGGATTGCTACAACTACTATGGCGGAAACTACTCTGGCTACGGCTGCTTGTTGCAAATATGTGCAACTCGAGGCACCTCTCCCTCGGCTAGCCTTTACCTGGTCTCAGGTCAGCATCAGGTTCCGATTCAGCAAGCAGCGTATTCAGGCCAGAATGTGTACATTCAGTGAAGTTTAGTCACACTCGCACCCTGATTCTGGAAGCTCTTCAGCCAGATTGCATTTACTAAACCTCTCACGGAGGCCAGGCCCATTGGCAAAACGCAGCATGGGGCGCCGCCTAGATTCCTGGATGCCAGGCCGGACAGGTTAGCCCATACACAATCGTGCGAGTTTGCAGTTTGCCTTCACCCAGATGCCATGATCCCCTTTCTTCAGGCCCTTGACCGCTCGCGATGCGACAAGGAAGTGCTGCAAAGTGCGCATTTCACACAGAAGCTTTGGCTGGGCGTCTGTGATGCGCTTGTGCCATATGCAATCCAGTCTGTGGCCACAAGGCGTACCCCTCTGGACCCCAAAGTCATTTGCAGCAGAAGCTGGGAAACGCCTGCTCTGTGCTCTCTGTGAATCTGCTACGAACCCCCTGAAATCTGCAAGTTCCTGAATGCAGGTCTCCAGTGCTTCTGCGAGCCTAGTGCGATTTTTATGTGCAAGGAATCTGTGTAGACAACCGATGCAGGCAATGACAGCAAGCCAGTCAAGCAAGCATTCTCACTGCTTGTAGATTAGTGTGACTGTGCTGCCGATTGCCTGAAAGCCGCACAATGCAACGTCAGAGCAAGCTGACACCAAATTGCCAATGCCACAGCACCGATGTGTTTCCTTTAATGCTGCCTAGCCGAGGATGCTTTGTGCCTGAGTTGCCCACCGAACCAACATTGGTATGCCTGTACAAGTAGCAAGACCGTTCTGACACAAAGCATCCCTAGCCTCGTCACGCATGTCGCACCCATTTGGGAGGACATTGTGATGTTAGGAGCACTGAATCTGTTTAGCCATTGTTGGTCGGACCAAAACGCCACATAGATGCAACTACGAAACCGACTGCCACCGGTGCCAGCAAAATCGAGAGGTGCCAGTTAGCTGGCGCAATTGACTTTCCAACAAAGGCTTCAAGGTTTCAGAGGCTGCGGGGGACCGAAGGCTGGAGAAGCCGTTTCACTTGTGAATCCTCCGTGCCACTGTCAGTGCAGAAGCGGTGCTCGAACCTGTAGAGTGCGAACAGCGCAAAAAGTTGGTTTGCATTGGCATCCCTTCGCTCGCTGGCAGCCTGCTTTTGTGCCCCAAACATTCCCAGAGCAAGGAGGCTAGAATACCACATCTTGCTGGCAGGGTCGGGCGTATGCGAAGGTGCCAGTCGAGTACTGGAGGCAGCACGTGAGCATTGAATGGGGTCAGTTCAACGATTGGGCATCAGTTCCTCTTTTGGAAGCCTCAACATGAAACACATGAGAACGGGAAATTGGGACGAGCTGATTCGTGCTGACAAGTTGTTGTTGACTTGCTCATCCATTCTGCCAAAAGGCTGCGGTGTTTGCTTCTGCCACTTCTGCTGATGGCTGATGCACATTCGAGGTGTGATGTGCTCGCGCATGACTTCGTGCAGTCGTTGGCGCGACGTGTGGAAGGCATGGGAAGGCAGGGTGATGTGCAGATGTGTTGGGAGGTGCACTTCTGCATGTTTCGACTGTGACAGGCCCGCGGCGATTTTGGCGATGCACCTATGTGGTCGTCTGCACTGCTGGCCAGAGTTAAGGTGGAACATCCTGTTGTTTCCATCGCTGCAGTTGATCTGAAAGCAGGGAAGCGAGGAAGGAACCTTGGAGGGGGCGGCCGCAGGGAGTCTGGAGCACTGAACCCGCGCCCAAAAGCGGAAGAAGTCGTGCTTGCACCGTTTGGGTCCTTGGGAGAGGTTTGAAAAGATATTGAAAGCAGCTGCCTGTCAAGCGAGATGCTGGACAAGCGAGGCTGTAGTACTAGGCATCCCAGACGGGTCCGCTCATTTCGCGAAGTGCGAACCCTGCCCTGGTCTCAATCGTTTTGGTTTTTGGCCTCAGCTGTGCTGCCGAGTCTTGAGGTCTCGACTGTCATGTGTGGTCCATCTCATGCCAGCACGAGTCACATACCGCACAGGATGAGTTTGGCAACTCCGAAGTTTGATTGTCGAATCTGCATCCACACAATTGTTTGCCAAGCCGCTTCGTCATGGGCACGGGTTCTCTCGAGTGGCACCGATTCTGACGAACATCACGGGAAAAGCTGGATGGCAGGAGTCTGCAGGCAATCAGTGCGTTCCGCCAGATCAATTTGATTCGGCCGTTGCCCTACAGGCCTTGCAAGCATCTTTCTCGCGGTTTCTCTCAGCGTGCGTCGATGTGCGTCGAATTTAGGTGCTGTGTGCTGGGGCCATGCTGCTTGCCACATTCCAGCGAGGCTCCAAAGGCACCGGCCGGTTCAAGCCTGACACTCTTGTACATACAGGGCTGGGGGATTGAGGAGGTTGCTGACACCACTGTCGTTTCCTTTCAAATCGTTGCAACAGGAACTGCAAGATGTGTATGGAATCGGCATGTCCGACGAGGAGCAGTTCGATGCTTGGGCATGCCACTTAGACCGGTGCTTAAAAACCTGTATTCCTTGTTTGACATGTGAGCTTGGCAGAACTGAACAGCTGGATACATCGGTATGTTTGCTTGGGCTCACCCCAGAAGACAGAGATGAGAAGATGCAGGCTGCGCACTTGGAGAAGCTGCTGAGAAGGATCCCGGGAGTAAGTGTGACAAGGCAGGCCATGCGCAAGCGCAGACTGGTACTGGTGACTTAGCTGTGTCCACGCGACATGGACCCACTGTGCTTTCCAGCCCCTTGTCTCAATCCCCAGAAGTCTTGCGATTTCGCAGTGCCCTGCCACACTTCCATTTGTTCTGTTCTGGGCGTGTACAACGGACTGAAGGTCATGACCGGTCATGACGGCGTAGCCATGTTAGCGAGATCCAGGCAAGCAGCTAGATCAGTTCAGCACAAAAGATTTTAGAGGCGACAGCAGGGTGACTCGTGCCATGCTGCGCTTTTGCTTTCTCGCCACCGCTGGCTTCCAGGCAGTCGGGGAACATGTGCTCATCAAGCATGGCCTGGGGAATTCACAGATCAAAAGAAACATGTCAACACGAGCTCGGAAAAAAAAGGATCCTATGATGGACAGCATGAAAGAGCATCACAGAATATTGCAGTGAAGACGTGTCCGTTCCAGACTCTGGGGTTTTGGAAAAGCAGGCTGTGTTTGCTCGCGTTGCAGTTTTGATAGGCCACGGGCCACTCAGATGAGCCGCTGCCCGATGCTTGGTATGAGGTCTACAGAAGCTCGAGGCCATCAGTCGTGGCTAGCTCTGGTTCTTGTCGTATGCCTTTCAGCAACACAATGGTACAGCCGTCACGGTGTTTGCAACGACCGCGCAGCTATTTCAGCTCAACGAAACTTGGCTGTCTCCCCTGCCCTCTTTAGCAAGAATGGCGAAGGCGGCATGATTTGTCTTGCACAGAGATTAGCTGACTCATGCCTGTTCACGAACCGTTCACGAACGATATGTCAAGAGTCAGCTGATGATTCAGATCTGCTCCATGAGCACATTGATTCGTAATGCAGGCCGTCTTGGATGCACTGAAGGCCACCGGCGCGGCAGACCTCTCTGTGGCGAGGTTGCACCATGAAGCATTGTTTCGTTTGGCAAGGAGTCATGCAGAACTGTTTGCTTTCTTTGGCTTTTCTGCGACGCCTCGCGAATACCTCTCCCTTTTCAACTCCATCGAGCCTGGCACAAGGCCGCAATTGAAGCCGTGTCAGCCAGCATGTTCAAGATCAAGGACCTTTCTGAGGGCTCTCCGTGGTTCCCAACAGTGCTGCTGGTAGACTCCGGTTAGCAGCGAACCACAAACCTGAAGAGGACGTAACCACAAACGTTATAGAAACCCACCGCAAACCGGAAAGACAGAGAAACATGGAATCTTCATGCGGATGAAAGTTAACCAGGACAAGGTCCTGGTTTCCCGGGTTCAAATTAATTCCAAGGCTGAGTCGGCTGCCGAGGCTGCGAACATGTTTGAAACCGTTCTGCAAATGAGAGCCCACTCCTTCGTCACTCAAAGCTCAGGTGCAATGTCAGCAGATTCTGCGTACAGACTGCGATCTGACAACCAGTTTCTACATGGGAGGATGTCTTGCACATTTGAGACAGGAGCTCAAGGGCCGTGAGATTTTGGACAGCCGGGGGAACCCGACTGTGGAGGCAGAAGGGGTGTCGGAAGCGCCGATTTGTGAGAGGTTGCCTTAGGCCCTGATCTCTGCTAAAGTTGTGACTGGAAGGTGGACCTCATCACAGAAGGCGGTGTCACCGTCACTGCAGCAGTGCCGAGCGGTGCCTCCACGGGCGTGCACGAGGCGATTAATGCTGGATTCAGTCGTTATTAAAGATCAACGCTTGCCTTTAGCGTTCAGACTCGGATCCTCGGCGAAGGCCTGCGAATTGCGAGATGGAGACAAAGGCCGCTACTTGGGCAAGGGCGTGCCTCGCCATCGAAGGTAAGGACGCAAGCCGAAGCTTGTCGTGTCCCATAGTCCTGTGGCCGAAAGTTAGCCGTCGCATTTCTGAGGCAAGTCTTCTGGTTCCGGTGTAGCTTCTGCACATTGGCATTGTTCATCAGGTCCTGAAGGCTGTCGAGTCTGTGAACACGGTCTTGAACGCATCCTTGAAGGCCGGCTGGCTCTTTTGGCCGGCATGGATTGGCTGATGTCGGTTCTCAGCGCCTGCAGGGCTTTGACGTGTCGAAGCAAAAGGAGCTCGATGATAAGATGATCGAGCCTCTTGCCTCAGCCACGACACATGCGAAGAGTAGGTGATGTAGGTGGTATCTGAGATTTAGAAACCCACTGGGAAATTTTCAGCAACCAGCATTCGATCGACTCCCTAGCCAAGCTCTGCCAACGGGTGCTCCTACGCTTGCGTCGTGTTTGCTACAGAGGCTTGATGGTACCCCGAACAAGAGCAAGCTGGGAGCCAACGCGATTCTGGACCGAGAATCTGTAGCTTCTGGGGACGGCGGGAGGGTTGAGGGCTTCAGGTTCAGGGTGTTCGAGTTTGGGAGTGTACGACTTCTCATGTTCACAGAGACTTCGGCATCCTCTAGCAAAATGTCCCGATCCCTTGTGAGGTTCCGAATGTATCTTGATTGTTGGGCAGTGGAGCCAAGCCCTGAAGTTTAGCGTACATGCTCTCCCAAGCCTGCTCGGACCCATGAACCTGAAGCCTCTCTCCAGGGTGTGTCAATGGCTGCTGCCAAGGCCGCTGCGCAGGCCCCCGGACCCACACAGTTTCGACCGCCCCTACACTTCAAAATACCCCACCCCACTCCAGATGATGTGGCTGTACCTGGCTAGAACAGCTTGGCTGCAGGCAAAGGGCGTCCCTCTGCATCTCGGCTATAACATTGGCGGCTGTGGATTCAGAAGTTGGTTGGGTACTTCTCTGCCTGTACTTCCGACTCTTCAAGTCCCGCCGAACACCTGCAACGATTATTGAAATCAGGAAGGTGTGGATCGGGGATGCTCAGGCAGCAAACGAAACAGTATATGACGTGCTCTGGTAGTACTAGTACCGAAGAAAACAGTGCCGACTCGGAGCCAGGAGTCCCTGCTGCAACTAGACGCTGTAAGGCTGGAACCCACCGACGCATAAACAGTTCAAAGACATGGAGACATCCAGCCAGGCATGAGGGAATCACCGTGGCACAGAGTATTTGAGGTACCAGCACTTTGCCGAGCTTGCCGGCAACTCTCAGAAGCTCACACTGCCTGTCCCTTGCTTCAACGTCATCAACGGAGGCTCTCATGCAGGCTCCTGCCTGCAAATAGCACAGTGCAACTTCATTCATGCAGCTGAATCAGCATTGTCGTGACTTGCACAGCGGCTCGTTACAGGCAACAAGCTCGCCTTCCAGGAGCATCTCGGCTTGTGGTCCTGCTCCAGAGCAACATTGAAAAGCTTGTTTAGGGCAGGGGTTTAAGCCAACAGCAAAGCACGTCAGCTTTCGTTCCGAGGTACTTCATCATCCCAGTGGGTGCGTCCTCTTTCAAGGATGCTATGCGTATCGGTTCGGAATGCTACCACACATTGAAGGGCATCATCAAGAAGAAGCCACCCGCCCATTTCTGAATAGACTTCAGGCCATGCACGCTCTCACCTGATGTGAACCACTAGCAGTAGCAACCGCATCAATGCCGAAAGCCTGTCACTGCAAGGTTCGGTGGCGATGCCACGCTGATTGGTGATGAAGGTCGACCGTTGATGTCGCCCAAGACATCGGTCTCTCCAATGACTGCTGCCTTTTAAGTGCAGGTGGCTTTGCTCCTCCTTGCGATGCGAAGCAGGGCGTGGAGCTGATCATGGAAGCGATCGAGCCGCTCAGCGGCACCCTAGCCGGAGCATGCCGGAGCACCGGAGCTCGACTCGCAACTTGCCCAGTCAGGCTCCGTGGTGCTCCGGTCTGTTCCCCTTCAGGAAAGCCGGGTACAAGGACAAGTGCAAGATCGGCATGGACGTGGCGGCCTCCGAGTTCAAGCAGGAGCCTTTCTCGTAGGAACGAGGACCCTATGTCGTCGGAGACAATTCAAAACAAGTCCTCGGGGGAGCGCGTGTGTTCGTGCTGCGGCCTTGCAGCATGTGCTACCTCCGCAACAGATGATGAATTTACTCTGCGTTTGGAGCCACTGGAATGTTGTCGCAGACAAACTCCCCGCTTTGAGAAGTGTGATCTGCAAGGAGGGTGCAGACTGCTACGACCTCGGCACTTGGTATGCAGCCCCCTGCCTTCAAAGCAAGGCAGCTTGACATGCTGGGTGGGGCAGTGGGTCAAGACCTCAAACTCAGGAAGCCGAGAAGACTCCCGAGCTGAAGATGACTGGCTCGCAGCTGGCAGATTTCTACGCAGATCTCTGTGCCAATTACCCACTCATCACCATCGAGGATCCTTTTGATCAGGCATCGGAGACCCAAGAGCCTTCTGCAAACTCGATTGCTTGCTGCCCTCCGCGTGAAATCGGATAGATCCGGACAGGATGACTGGGCGGCATGGACAGGCTTCACTGCAAAGGTGGGTGGACCCACCCAGGTTGCCGCATGCTCGAAACATGCAGTACTCAGCTGCGCACGTTTGACAACAGCGACTGCATGAGTCGTGCTCAGGTCGGAGATGACCTGACCGTCACGAACGTCACCCGCGTGAAGAAGGCCATTGATGACAAAGCCTGCAACGCGTGGCTTGGTCAAGGAAGCGCAGCTTCAGATTTTCGTTTTAGGCTTTGCGATGTGTGTGGCATGCGGCGTGTTGCAACTTTTCCCAAGGCTTCTGCTGAAAGTCAATCAGATCGGCACCGTCTCTGAGTCTATTGATGCAAGCCTGCTGCATTTGCCGATGCTCTCTTGCGATGTTGTACAGAATTCCGATCTGATTGTTATCTCAGGCAGTCAAGCTGTGCAAGACCAATGGCTGGGGCGTTATGTGCCTGCCCCGAGACACATTTCACGTGATAGTGAGCTAGCATCAGACCTCGTGCTGAGGTGCTCTCACCGATCTGGAGAGACAGAGGACACCACTATCGCAGACTTGGCCGTCGGTCTCTGCACTGGCCAGAAACTTGACTCGAAGATCGACGGACGGCGTGCCGTAGTACTTTCGACGAGTTGGATAAGTCGTCCCGCCAAGTGACCTCGTGCTGTGAATTTACCATATTTATCAGGATCAAGACCGGTGCTCCATGCCGATCCGACCGCAACGCCAAGTATCCTGGCAACTTACTGAAGTGAACCTGAAAGGCTGAGCAAATCACAAGATTCCAGTATCTCGCTATGGGTTATTTGCAGTGCGGACCTCGCATGTGCAGCTCTGTCAAGGTACAATCAGCTGATGCGCATTGAAGAGGAGCTCGGTGACAAGTGCGCCTACGCAGGTGAGTCGTGGCGCAAGCCCGTGTGGATGGCGTGATAGAACACGTCTCAATGTTTCAGAGCAGCAAGCTCGGAGAGCGAGCTCGACCGATTGGTTCTCATGAATTCGGACCTGAAGAGAAGCCGAACTTTTGTGGTTTGAGGGCTGCACTTCTGTGAGGAGGACTTTTCCACTGTAGTAGCCTCCTTGCCTGCCTGGGCAGCCTTTGGTACCATCATGACCGTCCAGTGTGAGATCTTCTGCTTTTCAAAAAATCGTCGCTGCTTTCAGCATCTTTCAGCACAGCTGGCGTTTCAAGAAGTTTTCCACTGATGTGAAGCTCCGAAGGCAGGAAGAGATGCGGGAAACCCGCCGCCTTGGTGCTACCAAACCACTACCTGCCACGCCACCTTCAGGCGGCGACCCCGAGGAGCCGAAGTGCGGAGGGCATAGGATGAGCACTCGGAGGTGTGAGGTTCTTGGAATTTGCTTACACCCTCGCCGAGAGATACCACGGGATATCTTGGATGCTTCTGGGGTTCCGTTGTACACCTTCGTCCGTGCACACGAACGAAATACTGCTGAGTACTCCGTAGGTTTGTCGCTACGTCAAGCACGCCCGACACGACCAGCTGGCTAGTCCTGTGCTGGATAAGACCGAGTTTTCGGACATGGCATGGAAACCCCAAGGCAGTCTAGGCTAGGGATGTCTAGGGAGTCATCCCAATTGGTGCGGACAACAGACAGGAGGTGCACATCTTCGTCATTGGAGACGCGTGGATGAGCAAGTCATGCAAAATACAAATACATTGTACAACGTCACCTACATTAGCAACCGAGCGTGCTTGACGACCGAATCTTGTGGAGAACCTAAACTCCTCTCGCATGGGGACTCCGACACAAGTGAGCTCTTCAAGGCGGGGTTGCCGTTCATAAGCTAGGGAGCTAGGGACTGTGACGGAGATACACCTCATGTCGAGTGGTTCCGCAGGCAGCTTTCACACCGACGCAAAGGGGTTCGGGGTGCGAGCTCCGACCCCCAGACGACTACCATGATTACCAGCAGAGAGACCCCTGCGCCATTTTGGTTCAAGCCGTGAGCGCTTTTTGACCCCGTTGCTCGCTCTTCTCGAGGAGCCCAGGCACATCCGGGCACTCTCACCCTCTTTCTTCTCCGCCGTGCGGCATCTTGCGGCTCTTCAGGCCGCTCGATGCTCAGGACCTTGACACCAGCTGCGCCATTGCACTCTCGGCGACCCTACGAGACGGGCAATTACGGGCATCACACCGGCCTTTGCGTGCCGAACCTTTACCTCGAACGCCCGCAAGACCTATTGCACAATCGTGACAGCGGCAACCCGATCAAGAATGCAGTCTTTCATGGACTCCGGTTTCGCCAGAGGGCTTACCATGGGTTCCCCATGAGCCCCGGTTCGGCAACAAGCTTGGCCGGCGCATTCCGGCGATTCGCTTTCATCCCTATCTCCCACATGGGCTTTCGAGGCTGCGCACACACACACACACACGCCGAAAACATTCAGCTCGGGGTCAAGCCCGCCGGCAACCCGCCCATGAGTGGATGCCGCCAATCCAGCACAAATGCGCTGTCCCAACCGGCAATGCGCAGAGACTGCTGCCGGAGTGTGGTCAAGGCCAGCTCGGATCGATCGATATGGCGTGACATATGTGACATCTGGCTGTGTCGGCTGCATCGGCTGGATTGACACGGCCACCATCGCCAGGTCCCTGAAAGAAAACCGAGACGCAGAAGCGCGGGACTCATTGACGACGCAGCTGCGCTAAGAATGCTGACATATTATGCCACGACTTCCCCGTGGTTTATAGCAAACCCCGACAAACACGGGCCAGAACTTGAGTTCAGCCTTCCTTGCAGAGTCCAGAAAAATAGAGCCCAACAAGCGTTGCCGCTTCCGCCCAATGCTGTAAGATTTGGCGCGGCATGCCGCGGCAGAATTCTCAGTTCGCTCCACTCCAAAGAGGGGTGCGAACTCGCGCCGGGGGGAAAGCCCTTCTTCACCTTCAGAAAGAAAGAGAGACAGAGTGGTGTGAGAGAGTGTTGCGTCATGTGTACGCATGTGCGGTTTGCGGTTCCAACTGTTCAAAGTTTGACTCTTGTTTGCAGAACTTCCTTGCATCTGCTTGCATGAGAGGGGCATTTCGGGGTGGTACATCTCACAGATCTTGCTGTCGAAAGCGGACAGCTCAACAATCACCGCAGGGCGTTTCTTGCCATTGCATGCGCAAGGCGTTTTGATGCTTCCATGGGACCCGAGCAGCATCTCAGGACTGGGGCACCTATCCAGGATCGACCGCACCGGGCGAAAATCTACGAATGGCAGAGCATGCTGCGCAGATTGTTTAAGCATGCGCTTTTGCAAAACGCATTCTGGAATTTTCATCATACCTTTCATGGTACTGCATTGAGTTTAGCTCCTGCTTCTGCATGCTGGTTGCGAGACCTGTTGAACAGTGTTTAACATTCGCAGGAACCGGAATCAACATGCGATCCAAATGGAGTTCGAGGCTCACTGGCTAAATTTGCGAGGCACTTTCCTAGTAGAGGCTGCCGTCTCACAGTAGAATGTCTCCCGGACCCGGCCTTCTCATTGCCTGCAGTCAATGGAACCAAGCGTGTTTCGTCGGCGGTCGCTCACAGAAGGAGTGGGAGGAGGCTCGACATCTGGGTTTTCCAGTGACTGTGATTAGTGGTTATTAGTTAGTAGTTATTAGCTATGATGCACGAAAGTGACTGCTTGCTGTTTTGTTGCACTGTGCAGCGGCCGCTCTGTACTGGAGGCAAAGGAAGGCGAACAAGATCAGCGCGGCGAAGGCCACGAGAATAGATCGGAGTGTGAACTCGCAATGTGGACCATGAGTTCGTGGTACAGCCGGAGACTACACGAAGCAAAGTTTGACGGCACCCTACAGCCCAAAGTGCCGGAAGTCCTGACCTCCATAATCCATGCCCTCTGCCTTACCAGGCATAGACTCCTGAAAGCGAGGCCGATAGTGACAGTGAAGGCCAAGTTCAGGATGGGCAGTGCCCAGCCTATTTGCGTGCAGGCTGAAGCACCTCACAGGATTTCTGTGCCCAACCTAAACGAAGTCGGCAAGCAAAACAAAACATTGTCAGAGGCAAAGGTAACACTGAAATTCTGGCTGTAATTGCGTACTGTAATGAAAAACGAACTCTGAAGTTCTGTTCGCAAGTCACTGCATAAGTGACCTGGCGCCTCACGAAGACACAAGATCGCTCCTCACAACTTTTGTCACTAATCTTGTCCGTTCTGCACATATTGACTCTGTGCCTGTGTTTTTGCGGGGCGTGCTTGGCTTTTCCAGATGTTCAGGGCTTTAAGTTAAGTTTTACGTTGATGATCCCGAACGAGGGCAGCTCGAACGAAAATCCCCTGCAAAATGCAAGAAGTGCAAAATGTTGGTTTCGGAGATGTCAGGTTTGTTGGCGAGTTCTCATTCTGCGCCTGCGTTTGAGGGGTGCACGTGGCTTTTATAGATTAGCCAGCTGCGCTCAGGCCACGCACCAGAGCCTCATTTCTGTTGTTTCCTTCCCTCCCCCTCTCCTGGCACCAGACTGCTTTTCGGGGCCTTCCCTTCTGCCGCTCTCGCAGCAAAAAGGTGATTTTCTCAGAAGCAAAAGCCAGGTAGGAGGGGGACCTGGGGGACGGGGGGTCGAGCATAATAAAGCCAGGTTTGCATACGGGTAAAAGCCATCAGCATAAGGAGAAGCCGGTCGCATCAGCAGAGAAGTTCGCAGCATTAAGAAACAAAACCAAGCTTGTGCTTCTCTGGTCGGGTCCATGCATACCGCGACTGTCCTTTTATCCTCTTCCGCTTGGTGTGTTGCATCAACTGTCAGGTCATGAGCCAATGGAACCATCCAGGGGGTCATCCTATATGTGGGTCGATGCACATTGAATGCAGCTGGGCAAAAACCAGCGGACCACGCTGCAATCCAGACGCTCGGTTCCGGTTCAGTGCCATGTCATACCACCCATTGGTTTACAAGAAATGCACAGTCATTCGTCCCCACTTCGCCCGACAACCGTCGTGTGTTGAAAGTGAACTGGCTCTCGCCGCTCCAGTGTAGATGTCGCCTCTGGAGGGATCATTATGCGCAGCAGAATGTGGCGACGACCATGACCGACCTGGCACGCAGCCGTAAAGCGACCCTTGGTTTCCGAAAGGTGTTCTCATAGAGTTTCACCTTCCCCAACAACCAGGGTGATACCGGTTTCTTTGTCACTTAGGAGCTTCGTCATCAACACGGCAGACAACTTTTACATGGGAGGCCACCACTGTAGCCTTCAGCTGCAGATCGCGGAACAAGGTTGCCTGTATGCCCGTGGCTTTGAGGAGTTGCGAGCACCACGGACGACTACTGGAGCATGATGTTCGAGGCTTCTTGCATGTGCGCAACTTGTGACACAAGACAAGGTTCAAGAAAAAGCAGCCATCTCACATCTTCCATGACAAGTGGCAGGAGTTGTACACAGATGAGAGCTTGCAGATTCCTTGGCTAAGTTCTCTTGGAAACCTGGTTGCACTCCAGAAGATTCGGAAGCCTCACCATGCCTTGTCACTCCAGCGCTGTCCACGAGGCAACCACGACTACGGCGGCCATGAATGCGACTTCTGCCTTTGGCCCACGAGTTTTTTGGACCCGGGACATAGCATCAGAAGGGGCAAGCCCTGCTCTCAAGTGGCTAAGCTGCAACGTTGCCTGTGACGCGAGTTGACGCAATAAAGGTTCGAGCTTTGACAGAAAGCCACTGTGGCGGTTGAAAACGATTTTGGATCAAATTCTATGACCGGGAGCAGAGTTGGGCATACAAAAGAATAGGGTAGGGTCATACTGCGCCCTGGGAGGCATCGGCCTAGGTTCAGCAACCTGCACTACTCACAGGGGTTTGAAATCACAATTCTGACTTTGCTCCTGTTAAACAGCGCACACATAACTTAACATTCTCCACGACAGAGCAGAACGGACGCCAACCCCCGCCTTAGTAGCAGTTATTAGCAGCATGACGGCATCCACATCTGCTGGTGAGCACTGCTCCCTAAATCGTGTTGCGGGACTCTTCTGAGGATCAGACTTGCAGGCGTTGCGTAGAAGTTATGGAGTTCCTGACAGCCCGGTCCGCCTGTCAGCGTCGTGTCGTGTTTGATGACAGGGTCGAGTTTATAGAAACTCTGTGAAGTTCCCCGAAGCTCACTTGTACGAAGCTCACTTAGACTTGTGCTTTTCCGCTATTTCAGTCGCAAGGCACTAGGGCCAGGACGCCAGTACTTATCAGGACATGCTTCTGAGAGATTGTTGCCCGATCCAAGCTGAATGATCAAGGAGACTTGCGATATGTTGCGAGCGTGCTTGGCTGCGTTCAAGTAGCTAGTGGATAAGAACGGTCAGTGACAAAACCTTAACAACCTGATAGGTTCTGCTAGCACAGCACCGCTTCACCGACCGAGGCTATGATCGATTATGACACAGAGCACGATTGGCAATGGCCCAATCCAAAGAAAGTGCGCTGGGTCATGCCCATGAAGGGCTACCAAGCAGCAATTTCAGTGGGTGCTCTCGAGGGTTTGTTGGAATCAACCCTTCCACTAAGCAAGCTAGCACCAGGGCACGTGCAGCTTTCGAACTACAGAGAAAGCAGATGTGCCGCATGAGTTACCATACCCCTTCAATATGGGGTGGGTAGTGTTCTTTTTCGAGCAGCCACCACCTCCACCAACACAAGAACAACCATCAAAGCCTCTGTGGCTGTAGTTTTTGCCGTTCTTCTCTGAACAACACCCTCCACCACACATGTAGTGTTGTTGACCGCCCTTTTCGTTGCCCAACTATGACATCTTCAGCCGGCCGCCTTAGCAGGCGATGGCATGAACCCTTACAGTAGTTTCAGCCCATACCTGACCTCTCATTAGGTGATGGCATTTGATACCACATGTTCAACTCAACCCCTGATTACGCGATGGCGGTTTATCCTGCATGCTAGCCAACTCGAGCCCTCATTAGAGGGTTGATCGATGCCATATTTTCTCTTGATCCCTGAGAAGGCGATGGCGATTGATCCCACATCCTAGACTCGACACCTCACTACGCATTGGCAGTTGATCTCATATCTTAAACTCGACACTTCATTAGGCGATGGCGATGGCGGCTGATCCCGCATTTCAAACTCCACCCCTTATTAGGCGATGCGATATCCTGCATGTTAAGAAACTCGACCCCTCAGTAGGCGGTGGCGGTTGATCCAACATCTCTCCTTCGGCGATGGCGATTGATGCCATGTCTGCAAGTAAACCTCTTATTTAACGATGGCAGTTGATCCATGTTGGTCCTGCATACTTGCACTCAACGTCTCATTGGGCGATGACGGATGATCCCATGTTTTAGACTCGACCTTCAATTAGGCGATGGCGGTTGATCCCATATCTTAATCTCGAACCATCAGTAGCGATGGCGGTTGATGCCGTATTTAAAATTCGACTCCTCATTAGGCGATTGCGGTTGATCCCATATCTTAAACTCGACCGCTTCCGTCTCCCCCCTCTTACTTGCTGGCCTCCCTACCGCATAATATGTATAGTCCTGCCATAGTCTCCCCGGCGTGTAGTTTAAATCAAGAAATTATAACGAAGTGACCGAAGGCGGGCAGTCTTTACACTTGTGTGTTCACCTTGTATCTGCTCTTTCCTTTAACTACATAACACTTACCATCTTAAGTAAGCTGCTGTAATCTGCGGGTTGCTTTCTCGTTTGTTCCTTTCGTGAAAGTCAATCAAAAAATTGGAAAGACGACTGAAAGCGCATGATTGTTGTTCGCTTGCAAGAAGCAAAACGAGAAACCATGAAGCGTGCTGTGTGTTTCTTTAGATTAGAAGAGCAACGCGCCACTTCGCTTTGCTCATTCCTTGTGTTCTTGCTGTCTAGTTGAAAGCAACAACGCACAACCGTTCACTCACCATCTTCCTTTTCAATTTTCTCGTTTGCCTGTCAATAAATGACAAATCAAAGAAGGGAATTCAGGAAGTTGATGAAAGCGAAAACGAAATTGAAGGGAACAAAACACTAAGTTCGTTCTTATGGCATTCTTTTTTGCAATTTGTTCAAGTAATACAACAGCGTGCTTCCACAATACTTCATTACCTTTTGTTTATTCTTCCAACAGCAATCTCGCGCTCCGCCCACCTGCATTGGTGGTCTCACCTTGTTGTTCCACCTGTTGTTCTTCCCCCCCTCGCGGGCTTGGAGCAGGATGGGGAAACAACAACCCGCTCACCCCTGCTTATCGAAGGGGTCTCCGTAACGCTTTCCGGGTTCGGGTTTTGATGCTCGCGAACGTGCAAACAACGGGTGGATGTTCGAAATCCCAATCGCGCCCCAGCCCAGCGAAGCAACTCATCGAGCTCCGGCCACTCCAGATTGAGCCTTCCTGGATTTTTGAGGCGAGGACCGCTGGTACATGAAGAGCTTCAAGTTCCCGAAAGCCAACGTCACGATCGATGTTTTTGTCATCGACACCAACAAGGCACATGCAGCTTTGTGGCACCAAGGCCGGCAAAGATGATCAAGCCTTGATTGCGTAAAAGACTTCACCTCAAACAGCTCATTGTGAACACGGCTGAGATCCAGAGCCAGTGTCACTTCCATTGCCCGACACAATTTCAGGATGAGTCTTGGTTGCATGGAATCTTCGTGGAACACCCAAGCAATGGCAGAGCATTCCTCGCAGACCGGTGGTTCTGGTGCGAGCACACGAGTGTCACGAGTGCCGCATTGAAGTTGATGGGTCATGCTGCATGTGCATGCACGCCCACATGGAACCAAGAAGTGCTCGAGCTTTTTCCATCGGCTGTGGACGCGCTGTCCTGAGATGATATTGGAAGTGGCAGCAGTTGAATTTGTTGGGGAGGTTGACTTGAGCACTCGAGCCTCACAGAGTTTTCGTTGTGTCAGAGATGTTCTTTTGCTGCTGCTGGCGCCACAAGCAGAGGAAGGCACAGAGTTCAGGCACTGTCTGATCTCACGCCCCTGCCCGATGTTGCAAGGAATGGTTTGACTGTGCAGAGCTGTGCTGAGGCGGCAGCGGGCATGGCTGCTGCCGGCCCTGGAGAAGTCCAAAGCAGACTGGATCCTGGTCTTGCGATAGTTGATGGGACGAGGGTTTCTATCTCGCCAAAGAGTCAGTTAGAGATGTTGCAGGGTTGCGACATGTTGAGTCAAAGTGTAGCCACTCCAGCCATTCTGCAGCGGTAGGGGGCTCACCGGGAAGGTGCAAGTCTTTTCCCGTTGACCCTTGACCAAGGCCAATCCCATCCAATCCCCACAACGTGCGTTTTTTTGTGTCAGGAAGATGGTGGTTGGCCATGCTCCGCCAGAAAATTTCGAGGAGTGCACCCCAACTTCTCCAGAAAGCTGTAAATCCACACATACCATGGCAGCAGCATGAGAGCAGATGCACGCCTGTATCATGCAATTCAACGGAGAAACTGCAGGCCTCGATCATGGAAGAGATGCGAGACCGTGGAGTTTCGGTGTACATGGCAGGCAGCATGCCCAGCTTCTGGGAGAAAGGGATCAAGTGTGATGAAACTCTGAGTCATAACTGCTCACGGATGTGTGCGAACCCACGGACCTACCTGCGTTTCACGAATTTAGACGACCCAACTAAGATCATGGGTCAAAGGGATCGAGATGGGTAGACTGTGGCGGACCCTGACCCCAGCTCGAAAATCCAAATGAGTGCCCAAGACATGCGGACCTGGGAATACTCTGACTGGGAATCCCTTAACGGGCGTTCTGCTAGAGCGCACATCTTACAGGAGGAGCACCCTGACTCGACTGAGCGCTGGGCAAGTCTCTGGCCGGTTCCTGGTACTATGCTCGACCACGCCATGGAGAAAGAGCGCCGTGCTCTTTCGCCTTTCGTCATGGCCAAAACCCGGAACGGAGCTGTTGCCTGCTTCGACGTCTTTGCGCTGCTTGCATTACAAAGATCCGACTCTTCCTGCATTTCCCACCGGCCACCCGGCACCCGGTGACATTTCTTGTCTGGCCGTTGCCACGAAGTCGTGTAATTCAGCGTGAACGGTCCTTGCAAAGCCCTTCACGACTATGGGTTAACCTCGCCAGATGCCCGACAGCACACTCAAGTCACTCAATCACTCACCCAGTAAATTGTCACGCAGGGAGACCTTCGCCACACCCGCACCTGCTCGTGCGTCCTGTACCCCTCCCACAAACAGGTCACGTTCTCTGCGCAGGACAAACGCTTGGTCCTTTAGTGCCCAGGTGTGCAGGCTAGATGCCCAGGGGGCTTGACACACTCCTTAAGCCTGGTAATTACTCGTAGAAAGAAGAGAGAAGGACAGACAAAACGAAATAAAGAAAGAAAGAGACAGAGAAGGACAGAACGAAAGAACAATAAAGAAGTAAAAGCGAACTACACAAAACAAGAAAGAGACAAAAAGAGTCAAAAAGAATGACAGAAAAGACCAACGAACTGAAGACGTAAAGACACAAAAAGGAAAGAATAACGGAAAGAAAGACATACATGAGGAAACAACGAACGAACGAAGAAACGACATGAACAAAGAAGATGACCTAAATAACTCATGGACGACGCAAAACAAAAAAACAAGAACATAACATAGTACTTACCCAGTATTACAGAAGGAAATACGCACGGAAATGCAGAGAGAGAGAGAGATAGGGGGTTTACATGTGTTGCCTTACTGCAGCAGTAATCCTTTGCACCGTCAACATCTTCGTCAAGAAAGCACCGAACTGCAGCTACTTGCGCAACGACGGTCGGGAACAACCCGATTGCATATCCCAGCCAGTCTGCATCTCGTTTTTAATGTCATCGGTACCTCAATTGTGTTCCTCTATGCTCGGGATTTGCCTCGTTTGTCCGAGCCTATCTCACTGCCCTCCCCGTAACATACGGGGGCGCTTGAGCGCGGGCAGGGGGAGCATCCTCCTGCCCACAGCCCTGACGAAAGAAAGAGAGATAGGGGCCTGGCAATGAGGCCGGGCAGCGGGTTGGGAGTGCCTAGCGTGCAGGGTGGGGGCTTGCAAATTGAAGCACGGAGCCAACTTTGTTTTCCTAACACAATGGGTGGTTGGGCGGGCCAATGGCCTGAGGGTGGCAGCAGAAAGAAAGAAAAGAGAGGGCGAGGGAGCAATCCCCGACCACAGCCCTGCCGAAAGAAAGAGCGAAAAACAGCGGCCAGCAAGTGACCTGCGTCCTCGTGCAGACCAAGAGGCCGGCTGCGCGTTGCGCTCGGGGGGAAGGCTTACGAGCCAATTCCCTAAGGGCCGATAGCAAGCAAGCAAAGTGCGAAAGACAAAACGTGCGACCACCCATCCTGTTTGACGTTCTTGCGCATTTTAGACACGAAGCGCAACAGGGCACGTGTACACCCCAGACACAGATGATTGACAGAGGTTTCCTGACATAAGGTGGATGATGGCTTCCCACTGCAGCAGCAAACTACCACAAGCATGTTCGAGGTTTTGGGGCATGGGAGGCTAGACATTCAAAGGGCAATCCTTGCAAAAAAGTGCTGGCAGAAAAGCTTTCTGTTCCAAGAGTGTCCAAGCACTGTGCATCTTGGACATATGAGCCATCAGCGCCCGGGAAAGGTCATGTCCATCAGCTTCGCCATGACCGTCATCCGTCGGGGATCGAGGCATCCAGTGTGCGAGAGTGCCCTGTGTTGTTGCATCTCTCAAGCGTTATGCATGGTCTTCCAAAAGTGACGGCGTTGAGCAGTGAGTAGTGCAGCTGCGACAGTGGCAGTCAGATGCAGGCCGTCATCTCGGGCTCCGGTGGCGGTTACCAATCGGCAGGGGGTGGCCAAATCCTCATGCAGCATGTTTCGCGACTGCTCGATATCGCAGTCACCCGTCATTCTGAGGGACTGCCTACACACTGCACCAGTCCCAGGCTGGGGCTTTGGGCTGTGCCGCTGATAGTATACAGGCTTGGAGTCTGCTCATGCTCAGTGTCGTATCACTGGCGGAAGAATTTGCATGCCGCTTGCGTCTTGCACCGTCGTGGAACGGCCGAAAGGATTACGGCTTTGCGACGATGCATGTCGAGTACCACCAGATCTCTGTGGAGTACTTCAATGACGAGGCCCTGCAACAGCAGCATCCCATGAGTAGTCGGTCGGCATCGCTTTGCTACGTGACACCGATCCTTTTCCTACATTCGCACCTTGACCAGGGCAAGCGACTTTGGGATCCGGTCGTGATCCCGCGAATCGACGTTGTTCAGGACAGTGTGCAAAACTCATGCAAAAGTGCGTCGACCAGCTTTCGGGGCACATTCATCGAAGTACCGTACCTCTTCAAGCATACCGCCAGATTCTGGCGCGGTCCCTGCCAGGAGAGCCTTCTGAAAAAGCTGCGCGAGGCTGCAGCTCTCTTTCGAATTCGAAAGTGGGAGCCGGTAGCATCGGTAGCCAAGCCCTTTTGAGAAGCTTTGGCCTGGCAGAGGCGGCGATTGCCGGCCGGACAATGGAGATGAAGGAGCTGATCGGCAAGGCTAAGGATCATGGAGCCAACCTGCACAACTTGAGAGGGATGCAGCACTTGCGAAGTTTAGTTTAAATGCGGACTTGATACTGTACGGGAGGGGTAGAATCTGCAAGAAGCAGGAATACCTGCGCAAGCCGAAGAGGCATTCGGAACTGCCTTCCTGACGCGACACGTTCCGAACAACTCCCTGCAAATCAATGCTTCGCGAGTCATGCCAGCTCGTGACAGATGCCAAGGTAGACGAGAGCTTCATCAATTCCGCTGCACTTGCTGGTGTCAAGGCTTCGGTCGGTTCTTCGGAACACTGCACAACGGCAAACCGACCACGGCGAGTGGATTACATTGCAAAACTCCCTGAGGCCTTCGAGGCTGGAGGAGGTGGCCGAAAGGGTCCTGTCGTGTCTTGAGGGGACTCCATTTAGGAAAGGAGGGGTCACCCTGCATGCCCTCTTTCGCTTTGAGTCAGCCCTCCCGTTGCCGTTCCCCTCAACGCGTTCAGGTATGGCATTTGTTCACATGAAGCCAGAGATAATGCAGCTGCTGGTCTGCAAACAGGCACCTCATTGCTTCTCCGCCCACCATGCACCACATGCACCAACCATCCTATGGGGACTTGTCGTCCTTTGGGCCTCTGGCCGGGCGCAGGACTTCGGAGTGAGTAAGTTGACGCTGGGATGCAAGTCACGAACATGAGAAGAAGCATGCTCGCCGAGGGCAGGGGAGAGCACATTTTCCGGCTTTTTGTCCTCATGGACGTTGGAGGAAAGTGGCTTGGCGGGCACGAAGAGTTCACAGTGCTTGTATCGACTTGTAATAAACAGCACATGAAGCCCTGCTACTGCAGCTTTGGGAGAATTCTGCACGGGTTTGTGCCTTGCTCGCTTGATTGCTTACCGCTTGGCAAGATTTGCTCGAGCCTTTGAGGTCTGCCAACAGAATGGACAACTTTATTTTTCCGTCAAGACGCAGGAGCTTGCTGTGCCTTCGCTGCATTGCACCGTCCCGCTCTGAGTGATCTGAAACGGGTCTACCTTGCAAAATGCAATAACAGCTCAAGCAACTTATGGACTCTTGCGGGTGCCGTGCTTCTAGCATTCGCAAGAGCTGGATTCCTCCTGGGGAAACACTAGGGCAATGCGCCCCGAGCGACACAAGAGCGTAAGACTAGTTCGACTCGCAGCACTGCGCCCAAAGTTTAGCACAGAAATGCAGCCGGTACAGCTCCAATTCGCCAGGCTGTTCGTGAGACTTGCTTTGGAGGAAAAACACAACACCGCGGATCCAGCAGCTGGCAGGTTCGAAACTGCAGCTGCCACCGCCGCCAGCCAGAACCACAGTCCTGCCCTGAGTTTGGTCCACGGCAGCTGCAAAGAGCTCTTTTTCTCAGCTCAGCAAAGGTGTTGTGCTATCCGAGCCCAGACTGTACTCCGGAGCAGATGGCTGGCAAGCTCGCAGAATCAGGCATTCAAACGCTTCGGAGCGAGTGTCGAAAAATGTCGAGAATTTCGCTCCACAAGCGCCAGAAGCTTTGCCTGGAAGGTTTGGAATTCGCATTAAGAAACCTCGTGACAATGCTTTTCTGAAGAGGGGTGTCTTCCGCCATGGCAAGGTGCAGCGGCCATGATGCTTGCGATGCAAAAAGACGACTTGAAGCCTGTGCAAGCCGATGAGAACAGCGACTTGACAGCGGAGGACGGCACAAATTGCATCAATGGCTGCGACTTAGGATGTTGAATTGTGCGTATTAGCTTGTGATCTTGGGAGCACAGCTGCGATGCAGACAAGCACGTCTCGGAACGCAGGAAGAGCGCATGCCGGTGATATCTGTGCCACAGCTTTCCATCAAAGATGTGGGCTCTTGGATGGGCAATCCCGACGCTTGGCTGCTTCCGGCTTCGGCTTCACAGTGTCCAGATGATGCCTGACTGCGTAAGAAGCTGCATTCCACCAAGGCTGAAAAAATTGGAATCCGGCTCCTCGTATTGCAAAGCAAGTTCGCAAACTCCTGCAATTTTCAGACTGAATTGCAGTTGACGGCGCACAATTCATCAAAGCTCCAGTGAACAGGGCTAATGCAGGCTATGTGTATACTTCTGCCGTTTTGTCAGGCTCTTCGGCGGCAAGGGCGCTTGGCAAGCTGCCGTGGACGGCGCCAGGCCAGGTCACAAGCCAGATGGCTTCGCGAAGGAGAAAAGTTAAAGTATGCCAAAGCACTCGCATCGGCAGGGAAGCTGGAGTTTCCAAAGATGTCATCGAGGCGCTTTGTTCAAGCACAGGGTTGGCGCGTTCGGCCTTCACGTGATGCTGACTAACGATCCATTTGGCAGTGGAGCAGTTGTCGCAGAATTGGGTTTGTTCTGATTTGTTGTACGGCTGTGCACGTAGACCTGTTCAGGCTGCTATGCAGGAGGCGAAGCGACAGCGTGCGGAGGAAAAGCTTCAGGCCCGGTAAGCAAGCTTTCTGCTAAGAATGAGTCAAGGTTCGCAAGCTTCGAGAGTACAGAATGCACGATCTGAAGGCTTGCACCACCACCACCAGCACAACAGCAATGACAAGAAGCAGCAGCAGCAGCAGCAGCGCACTGCTCGTCGTAGTACTACTACTCCTACTACTACTAATTACTACTACATACTACTACTACTACTACTACTACTACTACTACTACTACTACATACTACTACTACTACTACTACTACTACTAGTAGCCACCCCCGCCCCCTACCAACCACCCGCC